GACTATGTCTAATGTTTATGTTATATGTACGCTGGAATCTTGCCTGGGATGACCATCTCTTCTGATGTCTACACTTGTCTGGGTGCTGTTATTTTTTAATATTGTTAATCACTATAACATTTTTTGTAATCAAGTAGTCACCCCAATTTTCAGATTATCCAATAGTGACAGATCGAGCAGAAAAAAATAATGTGGATGAAGTGCATGAACAACTTGTGTTGTCTGAAAAAATATTACGCTCCAAACAGTTCCTCAAAACTCAACTCTCTGCATTAAAAGTAGGCCATATTTGGCTACACAACAATATGCTTTCCTGAGCCACTATAACATGGGTTTCAATCGACCTTTTCCGTCAATGCAGTACTATCCCCAACACAATGATCCAACGTTTTTCCCAAATATGTAGAATTTTGTACCTTCTGAGCACCACCTCAAGTTCCTTACCACGATACTTAATCCCTCAGGCCAATACACCACCCTTCAATCCATATTGTTGATTATTTCAAAGTGGAACTCATTCCCAAAGAAATCCTACAGTAAAGCTGACTGAAAGTAACTAACGTCCAAATAAGGACTTGAATACTGATGAAGATATAGAGCTAACTACATTATGGTGTAATGTGACAACGGATGCACGGGTAGGAGTAAATTAGACAAAATTAACGATGTGGGAACATGTATGCGAGAACTTTGCTATGCTTATGGAAGATAATCATGAGGTCATAATAGTTTAAAATAAAATAACTGCGGGTGCGTGTGAGAATCGGTGGACGGAACTCCGATCACAATGCACTAAGTGGACCACAATAAGAGTACAAGCCGAGCTATATTATCAAAGCGGTTGGAGTACAATTGATTTTGTAAGTTCATTTTATTCTTCTTCGAGTTGTGGTATTTCGAAAATACATATTTTTTTTTCTAACAGGAACACTCTTTAATGGCCAGAAACACTTCTATCATGCCATTTTTTAAGGAAAAACACAATGCAATGTTCAAACACAAGGCATGCTGGAATATCCTAAAAGATCAACCAAAGTGGTTGGAATTTCTAAATGGAAAGAAGAGCTGGCCAAGCGAGAGGTCAAGTAATTGCAAAATTGCTGTCAATGGGGAGCCACGTTTGGTGCAAAGATCTTTTGATGTGTAGACATCAGTGACCCCAATCAACACCTCCATTGGGGCTGCATATGTAGATATAGATTCCTTGGGTGGACAAGCTGGTTACAATGCAATAAGTGGGGCTGCTGCAATAGATCTCGAGCGTCCAATGGGTGTTAAGAAAGCAAAGGCCAGTACCAAAGTAACTAACTAACGGCAACGTAGAATCAGACAGTATGAAGAGCTTCAAGCCTCAGTCACTGGACTTGGTGCAAAGATCTTTTGATGTTCAGACATCAGTGACCCCAATCAACACCTCCATTGGGGCTGCACATGTAGATGTAGATTCCTTGGGTGGACAAGATGACTACAATGCATTAAGTGGGCCTGCTGCAATAGATCTCGAGCGTCCAATAGGTGTTAAGAAAGCAAAAGCCAGTACCAAAGTAACTAACTAACGAAAATGTAGAATCAGACAGTACGAAGAGTTTCAAGCCTCATTCACTCGACTTGATTTGTCGTACAACAAGTCTAGAATAGAGGAGGATGAATTAAGAAAAGAGAGAAAAATGGACGAGCACTAAGGCATGTCCAAAAGAGAAAATAAGAAAGTAATTATAACTGGCTTGACATGACACTCACTGTTTTAGCAACTATTTACATTATATACTTGACATTTTTAAATGTATATCGTAGCATACCATTGAATGGCAAAGGACATAAGTCTACTATCTAAGGAGATGACGAACATTGCTGAGGAGATTATACGTGCATTACGCAAGCTTGATGAATTGGACCCAAAAGTTCTTTTATTTGAAGTTTGTAGAAAATAGTATGTGATACCAAAAAAAAAAAAAAAAAACAGTTGGAATACTACACTGACGCTCACAATGGTACTTTTGCTTTCTTTTTATGGTTTTATATTGTTATCAAAGTAATTACAGATATGTTGTGATATAAAATATTAATCATGTCTAGAAATCAAGGCAACGATTGCGAGTATCAAAATACAATTCCTTACCTGTGGGTGTCGATAATTCAAGTGCTTCTCCAAATGAAGGTAAAAAATATAGTCAAAATGAAAGCATTGAGAATATTAGCTTTTAATTGCAACGGCAGCAACCAGTTTGGTCTTTCTTGTATAATTAATCAGCCATATTCGGGACATTTGTACCATGTCTTTTAAATAGGTTGTGTGATATTCTTGGGGCAGATATTGGCTTATTTTTTGTTTTGTCATCACGGAAGAAAGAAACACAATGTGTAAATAATTTCTAAATTGTATTTTTGTTGAACATTATTATTTAATACAATGCTTTGTAGTAGGGACATGCAAAAGTCTCTTGAATATGAGTGAAAGTTGACCTCATATTTTATTTTTTATATATGATATACCAACAAAACTCATATTTACATGGTGATGTATATGTGTGATATTGCAACTTAAATATACATACAAACATATCAAAATGTTAACTTAAATATGCATGCCAAATCTCATGTTCTTTAGATACAAGTAGATTAGCTCGCCACAATATAATATGAGTAGCTCACTTGAGTTAGAAAAGCATATTGTTGTGATGAAACCGGTTTTTTGGATGAGGTGATGAAGGTAGAAGGTGTCGACGGGGCTTTCCTTTTTAGCTGAGCCATTCAACTAGCATTTTTAATAAAAGATGTGCATACACATCACCACTTCCCAAGGTAAATTAGGTGGAATTTCTTTGATCGATGTCTATGTTGTTCATCTCAACAATACAAGAAGAGTTGGTCTTACGTATGAAAGATGAACAGTAGAACAACTTCATAGATTATACTTCAATGAAAAATAAATAAATAAATGCGCATCAAGAACATTCTATTCCAATGATCATTCATTTATATTTTAGTTCAATGTATGTGTATCTACAATATATTATGTCAATCACACAAATTTTGCGATCAAAATACTTAAAACCTGCAAGATTAAATGATTAGAAAATGTAGTACTACGATTCACTTACAGAAATAAAATTAGATTTCACTATATCATATATCATGTGACTATGAAAGTTATAAAACCTTCATATGGATTAATCTACTTTGCCAAAATTTGTTGAACATTAGAACTCTGAAAGCTTACATATTGGACTAATCCATCCTCTTCACATCTATAAAATATATATTCATTGTTTCCATCGAACCACAAATCAATGTGATGTGAAATGAAATATCCTCAACACAGAACCAGTGGATTGATGCAAGCCATAGTTAATTACAACACAACATTGTTTTCAGTTAAAAATCTTACCAAGAATTTGATCAACGAGAAAATTACAAAATATATCATTCACATTTACTCAGTTATTACTTTTGCATTTTATTTGTCTAACCAGCAAAATATATCCTACATATTTGCAAAATTTATCATTTATATCTTCCGACCGTATGTCATGTTCATATGATGATGGTTTTATGCGCACTCACACCCGGCTGGAGGACAGAAATAATGTCTTTCAAAACGTGTAGGATATATTTTACCACCGAGATAACTAAAACACAAATGTGATAATTGGGTATAAGCGAAAGATTTTTATTTCAATTTTCCTTTCGATAAACTATTCTCATTTATCCACCTATATTGGATCGACTTTATTTATATCAATTTCTTCCCAACTTGTCTCGTATTAATTATGTATAGATATGAAGGATATGACCCGGAAACTTTATTGGTTCTACATTCATTGCTACTTTTGTTCCAAATGTTTTATTACATCATGATGGATTTATATATTTTAACGGAAGTCGCCATCTTTGTATAGAACATCACCAAAAGACGACATGAAAATAAACTAAGTAGCAGGACATGCGAGACATTAAATGTGAATGTAAATCTATAAAACCAAATTGTGTTAGTAACATTGCAAGTTCTTCAATCTTCTTTCATCAGGTTTACTAAACATTACTGTATACTAACTCATCTAGTAATATAGAAACAACATTCGACAGTCATATCTATTAAATAAATACCTCTAAATAAAAAAATATCGTCACTATAGTGAAATCATCTGTGTATGACATGATTTTGAATGGGATACATTGTCCTTGTGGCCCAACATATATGAAAATTTCACTTTCTTGGCTGCCCAGTCTCACAACTTTATGTCTAGGTCATTAGATGCCGAGACAATAATGTCTCTGGTTGATTCAATGTTATTTACACATCCTTGATGACCTTTCAATTTTCCAAACAAATCAATGCGCTCAATTAGGTTCTGCATCAAAGTACAAATATACATCAACGTGATTCATTTTTTAACAAATAAGAACTAAGATCTCCGTTTAAATATTCCACAATGAACTCTTAAGGCCTTGGGACTAAAAATGGTTCGTAGGATATAAAGTTCGGCCGAAAGTTTACCCAATGCGCACTTTCGGATAGCGGCTGCGGATTTTAATGTCATAAAATAAATAAATAAATAAAAAGCTCTTGTGGTACATATTTGAGTGACTTTTCCGAGCTTTCACAAATTATTAGTGACCTTTTTCTTTTACAAGAAAAAATAAAATAAAACAAATTATACCAAATTTGCCTCACCTTGCGTCCAAGCTTGCTTGCTGCATAGCCATATAATCATTGCTTTCTTTTGTAATTTTATTTTACGTTTTTTAAAAAAAAATTTTATATCAAATAATAACTTTTTATTTTTTATATTATACTAAAATTTATTTTATGTTTAAAATATCATATCCATCTCTATTTATATTATTTTAAATAATTATTTAAATTTAATATTTTACTGTTCAAAAAAAAAAATCCAAAAACAAACAAACAAACCAAACACGCACATACATTTTCAACATTAGGCAGGTCCTATTAAAGCCCAGAAATTACAATGTATATACCAAATTGGAGGGAAATTTTGGCCAGCCAAATTCTTGAATCAAAACGGAATTGGTTCTCTCATTCTTTGATTCGATTGGGTTTTCAGTTTTGAGGAAAAATCTTCCAGTTTTGGGGGAATTTTTGTTTTCGAACACTAATTTGGCTTAACATTTCATTGGCTTCCGTCATACACCTGTAGGAATTCGTGTTTGATATGAACGATTCTTCAGATTCTTCATTTTCTTTCCAGACCAAAAGGCAGCAGCAATTCAAATTTCCGTTGGCGCCCCGCAGGAAGCGCAGGAAGAACACGGTTGAAGAAGCAGTTCTGCACGTCAAGTGTCTCGGCCTGCCTTTGATTTCACCATCCAGCGGTCAATTTTGTGTGTCCCTTTGCCTTGAGCCCTATAAACCCTACACCATTGGCCGGAAAGTCAACTTGTGCGATTTTGTATTCGCCGATCGCCGTGTGAGCAAAGTTCATTGCCAACTTCTTTTTAATTCTTGGGAGAAGAAGATATATTTGTCGGATGGGTTGTTACTTGGTTGCAGTGATTCCTTTTCCAGGTTTTCAAATAATGGTACTTTTGTTAATGGGGATAGAATTAGAGGAGTTGTTGAGTTGCGCGTTGGTGATCATGTTCAACTTGTTTGTGGTAAGGGAGGTGCCTGTAAGTTGGATTCCAAAATTGGATTTTCTTTGCAAAAAGCTGTTTTTCGAGAGGAGGTTATTAATGGAAGTTTGAGTCAATTTGCAGAGTCTAAACATAATGTCTTCAGATTGGACTGCTGTAAAGCAGCCGATAACACTAGAGTGCTTTTGAGTAAGTGTAAAGATATATTAGTTAACGACGACCCTGTATCATATATTCATAAGCAAATTGTTCTTGAACCGGAGAGTAGGATTGATAGTTCTTGTAGAAATGACCTCAAAAGGTACAATGAAGTTTCATGTGATAATATTTTAAGGTCTTGTTCTAGTCGGGGGCCACAGATTGGAAGCCAAAACCAGAAAAGGGTGTATCCTGGTGAGGTTGAAGATGTTAATAATTGTGAGAGTAATTCCAAGGAAAAAGTTGAAGTTGTTTTAGAGGAAAAGAAGTTCAAGGGGTCTAATGCTGCCCTTGCTGATGGTTTTGACACTTTAAACCAAACAAGGAGTTGTATTGTTGATTTTGGTGGTGATAATTCCTCTGGTTTGCCTTTGGACAATCTGGATTGCTCTCATGGCAAAAAACTTTTGGATGAGAGCTTTGATACTTGTGTTATGCCACCAGGGAAGAAGTTTTATTTGAATCGTTTGCTGTACGGCGGGCAAGACACAGAGCAGGCTGCTAATGTTGTTTCATTGCCAGAGCTCTTACATCCGATTGAAAGTATCAATTGGATATTTATTGCTACATTTACCTGTGATATATTGTGGTAAGCAAGAGTGTATGACTCATAAATGCTCACTTATTTTGAGTTGCACTTTTGTCTGATTTTGCAGTATTATTAATCGAGTCCATTTTTATTGGAGAAAGTATGTGTTCATTTTTCTTGGCAGTGTTTGGTTATCCATAGTAATCGCTGCATACGATTGTATTTGGTACATGTTATATGCATGATTTTTCAGAATGTTATGTGTAGGTTCCTAACTTACTGCAAGATTCCTCCTCAGTTACCAGTGACAATTGCTTGTCATAGTTCTGAGAGGTGTTGGAAGTCAGAACCTGATAAAAGAACCTCTGTCCCATACTCAAATTTTCCGAATTTAACTGTTGTGTAAGTTACAGTTAGGCTTTCTCATGTGTCAGATATGTATTTGTTCCTTTATGGGGTTAACATTTCTTTAATCTACTCCTGACAATAGGTACCCTCCATTTCCTGAAGTTATAGCTTTTAACAAAGATCGAAGGAACACGGGCATTGCTTGCCATCATCCAAAATTAATTGTATTGCAAAGAGAAGATAGGTTGCGTGTTGTAGTTACATCTGCAAATTTGGTGCAAAATCAGGTTTATATTCAGTTATGATGCATTTAATTGTTAAAAGATTACCAGGGAGATTTTTATTCATTTTGAGTTCCATTTGATACCTACAGAAGCATTCAAGAATCTAATTCAGCATTAATTCTTTGCATTTAACAGTGTTAGTCACATTATGAGTTCACATACAGTGATAATAAGGCTTTTTCAAGCAAACAACTAAGGAAAATATGACTGTATAAGGATGCATTAGTGTGACTGAACACATGAATAACCCTGAAATATCTCATATTTGCTCATCATGGCCGTGTGGAAGCCTCATAAGTATTTCCATTCTTTTTTTTTCTTTTGTTTTTGTTTTTTACCCCAAGGGTCATAGTTCAATGAAGTTTATTCCTTTCTACGTTTGGTTTTCTGCAGTGGCATAATGTGACCAATTCAGTCTGGTGGCAGGACTTCCCACGATTGACCATTCCCAACTGCCTTTCCCTTTTCACTCAATTATCTACTGGGGAAACCAATATAGATTCGAGCTGTGATTTTGCTGCTCACTTGGCTGGATTTATGGCATGTTTACTAGTTGATATGCCTAGCCAGGCACATTTGGTTTTAGAGTTGATGAAATATGATTTCAAAGGAGCTGCTGGCTACTTGATTGCTTCGGTACCAGGAGTTTATTCACGTAGAAGTTCTGTTGTATATGAGTCGAAAAATTGCTTGGTGGTGAGTAACTGTTATTGCCCCTCAATTGATGTGTGTCTAGTTGATGTGCTGGGGGGTTGATTCTGCAGCTGGTGTTTTCAATATCTGTTCTGTCAAATTTCATGATATTAATTGCTTTAGTTTCTTCAACTTTCTCTAGCAGAGGTTTCTAAAGTAACTTGATTTTTAAACCTGAATTCCTTGTGGGTATTTGCAGTGATTAATATTTATTCATTTTTATTTATTTATTTTTGTGACCTGGTTTTTTTGTTTAAAGGCATCTCTTATGATATCATATAATCCTTAAGAGTTTGGACAAGCTCTTCGGTTGGAAGATCTTGCATTCTTATTGTAGGAGAAACATCATTATCTCTTGGTGTATTATTTGCTTTTCTTTCTGAATTTAGATGTTAGAATATAATAGCTGAGCATTTGTAGGCCAAACATTTGATTCCTTTCTTACATCAGGGTCATGGACACAAGCTACAGTCATCTGGTGCTAGGTTTCTTTCTTCTGTAGAAGCTTCTGTTGTTGGTCTGAGCCATATCTATCGAACATCGGTGGATTCTAATGGTCAACAATTAAAGAAATTGGCTCTATTTCTTGGAAAATGTGAAGAGAACATTGATGGAATGTCGGAGATTGTTTTGAGAAGAGATACATATATACTAGCAGATAGAAATGCTGTCAGTGTGCATCTTCCTAACCCAGATGTTTCTATGGGAGGTGATAACTTCTTGATCATAATGTTGCTAATTTCAAATTGCAATTTCTCCCTGTTTAAATAATGATTTTCGGCATTCTTAAGGTGAAATTCTTCTGTTAAGCTTACTAACATTGCAGATATAGCATTATATAATATATATACACATACATATGTACATATATATATTTTACATACATGTGTATAGATATCTTTTGAGGTGCTATAATATTGAAATGTTTCTGTAAGTTATTTATATGGCCTGTCCAGGTTTGCTTATCTGGCAGTCTACATATGGTTTTAATAGGACCCATGATATTTGATCCTTCTGATTATTCTGGTGTAGTGAAGATGAAATGTCAAACCATATGCAATTATGCATGAAAAACAGCATTACATATGCTTTAATATTGGAGGTCAGTCTATTGGAATAATTAACTAAATTAAAAATGATGTACCATCTACTTAAAATTTTTAGATGAGGTGGTATTGTATCAGATCATGGAGGTCCTGTTGGTTGCGAGTTGCCTTGTTCTCTTCATGTCTGAGGCCATGCAAAACATTTCATGGATAAAAACACTGTTGGTTTTGTTGCAAGCTCATTATCTAATCTCCATAGTGATCTTAGTCAAGGATTTCACTGAGTTATCTTGCTTATTTATATTGGAGAAGTTTTTGGGTTTACTGAAATGTCCCTGGCCTGGCAGTTACAGCTGGGTCTGGTAAGAATTATGTCAGTAATTTTCTGCTTTCATCTTGTCTAGATTCAGTTCAGCTTGGGTTTCTACCGAGGAATGTAGCAAAATGGGTGGCTCCACTTGTTGATATTGGCCTTTTTGCATTTTCCGGATATATTAATCCTAAGGAAGTTCTTGCAGTAGCCTTAGAAGGAAGCAGCAATAATGTGAAACTAATTCTTTATGCACATGTGGTATGACTAAGATTCTGAACTTGTAGGATAGTAATATTTACATTTTTTTTTTTTTTTTTTCACTTTATGAAGCTTTCTGATGAGCTGTGTATCCATATGCTGTGGTATTTCTTCTAGGGTCCTTCTTTTTCTAATATTTCAGATGTTACACAACTTGATCATCTTTATGCAATATGCACACTTATTTCATCAAGTCAGAGGCATTTGGGACTTTGGCGCCTTGAGGAGGTAAACCTGCTAAAAATTGAGACAATGTGTTAGAATTTCATAAACCCTTTCATGCTGTCCAGTCTGGTTTCTATATCTATGTTACTTGGATAAATCAAATTGGAGATTTGTGCCACTTGGTTTCTTGCCTCTAGACCTCTTTCTAGTTAAATGTATAAAATTTGTATAGTATTGATTTTGATTTAAAATACTACAGTACAGTAAGTTGCACACAAAATTTTCTGACTATGACAAAGTCTTGGTGGCTAGGCCCAAGTGGTGAACAGATAAAGCATTGCTGATGGTTGAATGGTTTAATAGATAGTATTATTATTTTGTATATATAATGTGTAACATGAAAGTATCACACATTAATATTGGAGGTTTAATTGAAAGTTACTGAAAATTGTTTTATAGCATATTGATAAACGACTGTTTATTTACTAGGTCTTGGGCCAGTACAAGTGGCCAGAACATATGAAATCAGACTTTATGTTTGGTGAGCATACAGACTTGAGTAACTTTGTCCTTCTTATGATATGTCATTTCTATATTGACTCTGGTTTCTTTTTGTTTTCCCTTCTGTATGAAGGTTCATCCTCAGTTGGATGTCTGAATGCACAATTTTTAGCTGCATTTTCAGCTGCGGCAGGAAAAAGATCTGCTCCATTTTCCGATTCTCAGGAATCAGATCCTGATGTAAGAGAAATTGTTTTTATTTGGAATCTCTTATAATATAATTGATAGCCTTTTTGACAAACTGTCACTGTGTTTGAATGGTATTTGCATGCTTTTACCAGTGGGGTTCTTGGACTGCCAGTCAAGAGATGAAAAATCCTTCAATGAAAGTTGTATTTCCCAGCATCGAGAGAGTGAAGAGGAATAGAAATGGGATTATGGCTTCTAGGCGCATCTTGTGCTTCTCACAGGTATTTTTGGACAAACTTGAATCCTCTAAAATGGAATAGCTATATATATAGAACTTCACCTGAATCCTTTTTATGTGTACAAAAAATCAAAGGCGCACAATCATTTAGACTATCATTCCACTCGGGGTTTTCTGTGGGAGTATTTATAAATACTTTGCATCAATAGATGAATGAGACCTCAGGTGTGCAGAGAAAAATGAAGATGTATAATAAAAAATATATTTTCATCTCTTTCTATTGGTGAGAGGTGTGTTTTATATGTTATGATATTGGTTTTAAACCTGCATCCTTCTCTAGACAGTGTCAAGCTCTTTTTCGTTAAGGATTTACATATGCTGTGGGCTCTGATTTTGATCACTTTATTCCATGTAAACGCGTGTGATTAATTTGTAGAAACAATGCGTCAATTTTGTAATGTGAGGCAATATTGTTATGTGTATTCTCACAGAAAACATGGCAGAGGATGGAAAAACTTGGCATTCTCCATGATGCTGTTCCTTATCCCGATGATAGAACTGGTTTTCCTATGCACACCAAGGTATCGATCGTTGATGCATTGTAATGTGATCTACAAAATGTGCTTTACATTATTGCAAAGCAAATAAATCTCTACATATATGTGCATTTTGGGATTGGCTGTTACCTAATCATACAGTAGCATGGGTGTATTTACTTGAGTATAATTTTTTTTTTAATAAAAATTAGGCGTATGTTTTGAATGAAAAATATGCGATTGTTTAGGACGAGGAAAATATTTTTCAATAATTTACATAGTACAACAATATTGATGAAAATACAACACACCCACATGTTTTTCGAGCTGCAATATGAATCTCATGAAAAGCAATGTGAAAATTTTATTACTGTGAAAGAAATGCTAAAAAACATATCATGTGGGATTAAACTGATGATCCTTAGGATGACTAGGGAATCTATCAAAAGTTATCTTGATCAGATCTCATGTTTTAACATAAACAGGTGGGACGGAGAAGGTTCCTCTGCCCGGACGGGTCATCATTTGGATGGGTGTACTGCGGATCACACAATTTCAGCGCAGCTGCATGGGGCCGTCCGCTGTCCAACCCACAACCAAACAGGAGCACGAGACACAACTCAAAAGCAACAGGCTCGAGACTCCACATTTCCAACTACGAACTTGGCATTATTTTCGTGGTTCCGCCTCCAGACACAAACCAGCACAGCAGCCGCAGCCTGGATGATATTGTTCTGCCATTTGTTGTCCCTCCACCGAAATACAAACAGGGAGACAAGCCGGCTACGGCACAGGCGATGAGAGAAGCTGTGGCACAACTGTCAGAGCAAGAAAGGCAGATAGCCGACACAATCGAGGAGGAAGGGGATGATGATGATGATGATGCAATGGAGGAAGATGAAGGAATGGAAAATGAGGGAGGATACCTGCAGGTCGTAGGGGTGGAGGAAAGGGAAGAAGAAAAGGATTATGCAGATACACTTTGGCACCAAGTTTTAGGATAAATCTTAGATGAAAAGGTTACTTCATCACCCTATTCTTTTATTCCTTACATACATAATTGTTATTATTATTGTTGGCTGTAGTTATTGTGTTGAAATATAGGTGAAAGGAGTATCATATATTTTTTTTTAATCATTAACTAAGGTTTTACTTTTTATCATTTTAAACCAAAATAAATATTATTTACTTGATATAGTTTCTAATAAAAATATACTACTATTTTCTCTTACAAAATATTATATAAAAATACTATTTAAATAAAAATTTAAATCAATAGTCCATTTCAAATTAATTTTATACTTACAACTAAAATTTGTATCACTTGAATGATTGAAAAACATCAAACTTAAAAAAAAAAAAAAAGTTAGGAAAAAAGAAATATTAATTGATTTAATGTGTTGATTGGTTGGATTGAATCATCGTGGTTCTAGTATGAATATGAGGTTTTAATCAATCCACCGGGTCTTAACAAGAGAATTCCTATCAATTCAATAATAAAGAAAAGAAAAAAGACATTAGAAACAGAAAAATGAAAGAAAAAGAAATAGAAAAGAGAGGATTCGAGAGGTTATGATTATTTTGGTGTATTTGTATAGTATATAACATATTACTATTTTCGTTCCTTAAGTAGGTATTTATTTTGTTTTCGCATGTAAAATTTTAAATATTAATATTATACTAATACATAATAAAAATTAATAGAAACAAAATACCTACCACATAAAAACATCGTATTATGATCTTCCGTTGAGAATTGTATAAGACTTACATATATTACGTAACGTTCAATTATGTTGAATGCTTCAATTGAAAATTAATATGTGCCTATCTCGTTGATTGTACCCTGCCTATTATTCGAATGAAGGAACCTCCAAGATTCCCCACGGATGCACAAGCTTTTCGCATGAAGCTCGTAGGGAATTGGCAGCTTTTTGGCATCGCTAAAGTTGGACAAGTTAGCTGGACAAGTGCAATTAATATCACTTTCAACAAAATCTTAAGCTATATGGTGAAATTAACAATGATTGGACATACGTAGCACTTACTTTGCACTGTCAAGCACTTCCATGTTCGCACCATAAGTATAGACATTCATAAATAGAACAAAAATCATAAAAATTATTATCTTCCGGCATATTGAAATTCAAATTTCTCCAAAATATAAGCATTGTTGAAGAGAGAAGTACCATTTTAAAAAGCTGCCCAAGGTTTGATCCCTCAAAAATTAAGTAATGCGCGTAAAGAAGGGTTATAAATTTACTTTGGGTCAGGTACATATTACGTACAAACTTGTCCTTAGAAATCTCAGGCTCCCGGTATATCTTAATATAATCCTGCAACGTCAATAACCCAAACTTCAATCAAAAGGATAATTACATTGATAATCACTAATAACTAATAGATAAATAAACGACTTACCTGAACTAGTTTTTCAAGTTTTACCCGAAATGAGGAAATAAACTTCATAATTTCCTCATTTTAGCTAGTTTAGAAACATTATAAGGTTGGAATGAAGCGGGAATCTATTCAAGGGACTTCTGCACAATTAGATTGAATTAATCATTTTTTAAATGGCCTTTAGACCAAGCAAGTTTCATCAGTTCTTTCACATGCATAATAAGTGCAGCCTCACAGTCTTTCTATGCTTTCCTTCCATCAACCTTCGGATCCAATCTTTGTCAAACATACCAAATATAAAATCAATGTGTTATCTTTCATAATATTCACAAGAAGAACATAACTAAACTCCCCTAATCGCGAACAAAACTAACCTTAATTTGTAAGCCACTTCTAACAGATAAACCCTATTCAAGAAAGCTTTTGGACCTATTATGCTTCAGCAACATATTTTGGATAATATCATGGGATGAGATGAATTGGGCTGATGGCTCATAATCATAAGAAGCCAAAAGCTTCAAAATTCCTTGCGAAGAATATGATACATCAATAATTCTTCAAAAACATTAACAATCCTACAATTATAAAACATTACGTCTTATTTTGCTAAGCATTCCCTTTGTGCCACGTTTCCCAATTAAAGAAACATTTGCAAAGGAAGAAGAAATATACCTGAACTAAATGTACCATAATTTTGTTATGGTTAAACAAAGTCACTTGAAGAAGCTGCCACAGAAAAACAACATATTATGATATTCCGTTGAGAATTGAATAAGGCTTATATATTACATGCCATTTGATTAGGTTGAATTGAATAAGGCTTATATATTCCATTTGATTGTACCATTCCACTTATCCGAATGAAGGAACCTACAGGATTTCCCACAAACACATCAGCCTTTCGCATGAAACTCATAGTGAAGTGGCAGCTTTTTGGCACTTGTACAGTTGAACAATTGCGATTCATATAACTTTCAACTAAATATTAAGCTATATGGTGAAATTAGCAGCGATTGAACTTTTTTTGCACTTACGTCGCACTATCAAGCACTTCCATTTGCGCACGATAAGTATAGACATTAATAAACAGAAAAAATACCATAAAAGTTATTATATTCCGGCATGTTGAAATCCAAATTTCCTTCAAAACATAAGCATTGTATAACACGACAATTCTATTTTAACAAGCGTCCCTAGGTTTGATCCCCTAAATAATTAAGTAATGCTTGTGAGAAGGGTTAGAAATTCACTTTGGGTCAGGTACATATTATGTACAAACCTGTCCCCTGAAATCTAAAGGTTCCCAGTATATCTTAATATAGTCTTGCAACGTCAATAACCAAAAATTCAATCAAAAGGATAATTACACTTACAATCACTAATTACTAATTTTTAACATAACCCCCATTCCGCAATACAACTGACCTAAACTAGCTTTTCAAATTTCATCCAAAATGAGCAAATAAACTTTTTAATTTCCTCACTTGAGCTAGGAATAGAAACATTATAAGGTTGGAATGAGGTGAGAACATTTTCAAGGGACTTCTGCAAAATTAATTTGAAGTCATCCTTTCTCAAATGGCCTTTAGACCAAGGTGGTTCATGTGGTTATTTCACATGCACAATAAATGCAACCTCAAAGTGTTTCCGTATTATTCTTCCACAAACCTTCGGATCAAATCTCTATCCAAGCAAATCAAATATAAAATCTATAGTTCAAGGCCTTATCTTTTATAAGAATCACATGAACATAACATAAATTCTTCTCATAGAAAATAATAGTAACCTTAATTTGTGAGCCACTCCTATTAGATAAACCTTGTTCAGGAAAGTTTTTGGATCTATTACCCTTCAACAACATATATCAGCAAAAATCATGAGAAGGAATGAATCGGGTTGATGGCTCATAATCATATGAACTCAAAAGCTTCAAAATCTCTTGCGGTGAAGATGATACATTAGTAATTATGCAAACATATGAACCAATTTTTATGCTTGATCAAAATTAAAAACATCAACAATCCTACAATTGTTAAATATAATATCTCCCCTTGCTAAGCATTCCTTTTGTGCCACATTTTCCAATTAAAGAAACATTTGCAAAGGAAGAAGAAACATACTTGAACTAAGAAACATTTGAATAGAGTCACTTGAAAAAGCTACCACAAAAAAATAAGATATTATGGTCTTTCGGCGAGAATTAAATAAAGTTTACATATATTGCATAAAGTTTAATTACCGTAAATGTTTTAATTAGAAAAGTAATATTAATTTATCTCTTTAAGAGTATTCCGCTTTTTATCAGAATGAAGAGACTTACAAGATTCCCCACGGATACACCAGCCTTTTGCATGAAACTCGCAGGGAACTGGCAGCATTTTGGCACCGCCAAATTTTGAAAAGTGCAATTAATATTACTTTAAATTTATATTAAGCTAAACGGTGATATTTGTAAAGCTTGGTCGTTGGCACTTCCATTGCACTGCCAAGTACTTCCATGTGCGCACGATAATTATATACATGAATAAACAAAAAAATTACCAAATTATGTACAAACTTATCCTCCAAAAATCTGAGGCTCCCGGTATATCTTAATATAATACTACAACGTCAATAATCCAAACATCAATAAAAAAAGATAATTATATTGATAATCACTAATAACTAATAGTTAATATAACCCCTATTCAGCAGAGCGATTGACCTGAACTAGCTTTTCAAGTTACACCGGAAATGAGATAATAAACTTCTTAATTTCCCCACTTGAGCCAGGAATAGGAACATTATAAGGCTGGAATGCGGCGAGAACATTTTCAAGGGACTTATGCGAAATTAATTTGAAGTCATCATTTCTCAAATGGCCTTTAGACCAAGGTGGTTCCTGCATTTCTTTCACAAGCACAATAAGTGCAACACCAAAGTGTTTTCGTGTAATCTTCCACAAACCTTCGGATCAAATATCTATCCAAGTAAATCAAATATAAAATCTACAGTTCAACGCATTATCTTTCATAGGAATCACAAGAACATAACATAAATTCTCTTCATAGCAAATAATACTAACCTTAATTTGTGAGCCACTCATATTAGATAAACCCTATTCAGTAAATCTTTTCAACATATTTTCCTTCAATAACATATTTTGGGTAGTATCATGGATGGGATGAATGAGGCTGATGGCTCATAATAATAAGAACAAAAAAGCCTTCGAAATCCCTTGTTCTCTCAATTGGTTGAGTTTGTAAGTCCTTAATTTAAGTTGATATTTGATACTGAGTATCACATTAAGCAATTTATGACTATTACCACCTCCAACCTAGTGTATACATCAGCATCGGGCACATAACTAAGCATCTACAGGTAGAGTTCAGAATCTTTTGAAATGTTCAGTAAACATTTTTAATGAGCTATCCAGTTTTGTAAATATAGTTGTTCAGCATGTTCAATTGTTGTTTAGTTAGAAGGTGTTTACTATGCTTGACAAGATGGGATTAAAAAATACTTGCGCATTAATTAAAACACAAATATTATATAACCCTCTTCTATCCCCCATAGTATAATAATAAATTATACTCCTTATCTTGAGAACAATATACAAGATATGAGTAAAACTGCATATAAAATCCTATCATTTCAACTCTAGAGAAAAAAAAGGAAATAAAAAAATTCTTTGGAAATACATATCATGTAGAATTGTAAAAGAAGAGAAATAAATTTATATGAACACATGAAATGCAAAGAAGTATTCATCAACAAACAATTTCCAAGAAAAT